AACACACATAGGAAGCCCCCCAAAGCACCAGGTTCTGGTGAACAGGGGACCCTGCACTTGAAGGGCCTGAGGGACCTCTTCTCCATAAGGCCCCTACTCCCAGCAGGAGACACAGCTGACTGTCCTAACACAGAGAAACAGGCACAGAGAGTTCAACAAAATCAGGAGACAGAGGAGGATGTCCCAAATAAAGAATGGGACAAACCCACAGCAAAAGACCTAAGTGAAACAGAGATAAGTGATATGCCTGATAGTGAATTTAAAATAATGATCATAAAAATGCTCACTGGACTGGAGGAAAGAGTGGAGGACATCAGTGAGAGCCTTAACAAAGAGAAAAGAACCAATCAGAGATGAAGAACACTATAATGAAATTCAAAATACACTTGATGGAATAAATAGGAGGCCAGAAGAAGGGGAATGAATTAGTGATTTGGAAGACAGAGTAATGGAAAGTAATCAAGCTGAGCAGGTGAGAGAAAAAAATATATATACCAAATGAAAATAGATGTAGAGAACTCAGCGACTCCCATCAAGTGTAACATACACGTTATAAGGATCCCAGAAGACAAAAAAGAGAAAAGGGGGGCAGAAAATTTATTTGAGTAAATAATAGCTGAAAACGTCTCTAATCTGGGAAAGGAAACAGACATCCAGATCCAGGAGGCATAGAAATCCCCTAACAAAATCCACCCAAGGAGGTCCACCCCAAGACACATATAATTAAAATGGCAAAAAGTATTGATAGAGAATTCTAAAAGCAGGAAGAGAAAAGAAGATCGTTACATAGAAGGGAAACTCCATAAGGCTATCAATGGATTTTTTAGCAGAAACTGCTGGCCAGAAAGGAGTAGCATGACATAAAGTGCTAAAAGGAAAAAAAAAAAACCTGCAGCCAAGAATACTGTATCCAGCAAGACTGTCATTCAGAATAGAGGGAAAGATAGTATTTCTTAGAGAAACAAAAGCTAAAGGAGTTCATGGCCACTAAATGAATCCTCCAAAAAAAAAAAAAAAAAAAAGGCTAAAAGAGACTCTCTGAGTGAAAAGGAAAGACCATAAGTAAGAGTCATAAAAGTGGGACACACAAAAGCATTAAAACAAGTATATCTGTAAAAATCAGCCAAGAGATTACCAAAATAAAACAATGTAAAATATGACACCATATACCTAAAATGTTGGGGGTGAGTAAAGAATGGGTTCAAACTTGAATGACCATCAACTTAATATAGACTGCCATGGGCAGAAGCTGTTATATACAAACCTAATGGTAACCAGAAATCAAAAATCAGTAATAGAAATGCAAAAAATAAAGGAATCCAAAAACATCACTAAAGAAAGCTATCAAGCCATGAAGGAGAGCAGAGCAAGAGAAGAATCAGAGGACTACAAGAACAACCACATACCAGTACCAAAATGGCAATATATACATATTTATCAATAATTACTTTAAATGTAAATGGACTAATGCTCCAATCAAAAGACATAGGGTGTGAGGATGGATTAAAAACAAGACCCATCTATATGCTGCCTACAAGAGACTTATGTCACACCTAAAGACAAACAGATTGAGAGTAAGGGGATGGGGAAACCTTTATCACGCAAATGAATGTTTAAAGAACGAGGGGTATCAATACTTACCTGGGACAAAACAGACTTTAAAACAATGACTGTAACAAGAGACAAAGAAGGGCACTATAACAATAAAGGAGATAGTATCACAAGGAGATATAACAACGGCTTTTATAAAAGCAGTAATCCCATCCATGAGGGTTCTACTCACAGGACCCAATCACCTCCCAAAGGCCCCACCTTCTCATACCATCACCTGGATGGTTAGAATTTCAATGAATGAATTTGGGAGGGCTATAAACATTTAGACCATAGCCTTACTCATTGCTCTTTATTATTTATTTATCAGATGTTATTTATTCAATTATGACAAATCATATCCTTTCAAAAAGGATACTCTGAGGGTTCTCAGCCTGAATAAGTAGGAAGGAACCAGAGAATACTGGTGTACATTCTGGCAACAGAGACCCCCATCTTTCTGGCAGAAAGATCCCTCTGCCCTCCTCGGTTTGTCTCCTCACGTGGATAAGCGGTGCCTCACAATCATGAATTGCTCCTGAGTCCTCTCCAAGGCAGAATGTTCCTCACAGATGTACGAGGCTGCCATCTCTCTCTGAGTGTGAATTCCATAACACTTGGCTATGATTATTGGCAAAGAAAAAACGGAACACATCACTAAATGCACAGCCGTGCTGGTCAGTCTGGATGCATTCCCATTCTTTCCCTCAGCGCAGGGGGTGTGAACGTGAAGAATTGGTTATCGATGTGGGTTTAGAAAGCTGCCTCCACCCCCACTATGAGCATAGTCACCCCACAGGGGCCTAACTCAAGAGGTTCAGGTCTCTGCAAAATACTGTCAAGTGCGTCTTCTCTTTCAAAATGAGTAAAACTTAGGCAGGTAGGAGAGAGATTTCAGAGCCCTCGTAGCCGCTAAATGTCAGAGCTGAAAGCCTGACATTGCCCTCCCCTCCTGGCCCTAAATAAGCTGTTCACCTGCCTAAGAAAAATACTGGCTTTGGAGGCAACTCTCAGAGTTCACCTAATGATGAAGGTTAGTACTGTGGTAGGTTGGATGGAAGTTTTGAAATCCCTAATTGATTTACACGTAAGCTTTTCCTTAAAGATTTTGTTTATTTTACCTAAAGATGTACACACCTCTTTTTTTATGAACGATTTAAAATGTAGTATGTATACACCTGGGAGAGAGAAGTCAATACCAAGCTAGAAATTGTTGGGTTTTTTTAAACATTAAGTATTTACTCTCCATTCAAAACATTCATATGCACCTGCTATGTACCATAAACCGTCCAGGTGTGGCCAGGACACAAATAAGAAAAAGATTTAATCATTGTCTCAAAGGAGATTTTAGTGTAATGAAGGTGTATCTGTCATTTGCTGCCATGGTAATGCTGTGTAACAAGTCACGCCACAATCAGGGTGTTAGCTTACACATCTCCGGTTCACCTGGACATTGGCTGACCCCAGCTAGGTTTGGTTGACCTTGGTTCTAAGTGGCAAGTTTCAGCTAGTCCTGTACTCTCCTTGGGCCTCTCCCCACCCTAAGAGCAGTGGACTAGCCAGACATGTGCCTCTCATTGAGCACATCTCATCTCCTTATATTCACTGGGCAAAGCAAGTCACATGGCCAAGTCCAGTGTCCCTGGATGGAGCAAATACACTGTTCCCTAGAAGGAACTTCAGAGTCACATCACAAAGACACATGGCTGTAGAGAGAGATGCAACATTGAGAAAAATAATACAGTCAAGCACATCAGTTTGTGCCTAAACTCAACTGCCTAATGACAAAGGATGGGGATGTGAATAGGGAAAGGGATTAATTACATCTCAATGACTTTAGGAAAATGTTTTTAGGGGAGGTGGCATTTGTACTTAGTATTTCAAGAGGCAGGCAAGGGGAGAAGTGGGGGCAAGCAGTAGTTCAGAGATCCTCTACGAGCAAAGTCATGGACATGTGTAGGACATTTTCAGTGTTAGGTTGTAAAGAAATAAGTGGAAAGAAAACATGATAGAAGCAGATAAAGGACACCAGTAGTAAAACTACAGACCAACACTCAGTAGAGATTCTGGTGTCAGAAGTCCCTGTGTCCTGTGTTATCACTGGAAGTTCTTTGAAAAAACAAATGTTTCAAAATTCCCAACTTATGAAATGTGGAAAAGCAAAGAGGATAGAGTTTTTGTTTAAGTCTTTGGAACTGGAATTAGAGCTAGAAATACCTTAGCAATCATCTAGCCCAGCTCACTTATTTCACAGACTAAGAAATGTATGTTTTGGAGATGAATACACTGCGTGTGTGTGTGTGTGTGTGTGTGTGTGTGTGTGTGTGTGTGTGAAATATATAAACATTAGAGAGACAGAATAAATGTCATCCTAAATAAATCTATCCAGCTATATATGTAAACTGTGTGATAAATAAATATATTTATATAGAAACTAAATTAGTTCATATAGATAGAGCTATCAAGGTGGGGGGCATGAAATGAGCAGACTTCTTAAAGTGGTATTCTCAAGAACTCTTAATCCTTCAAAAACTTAAAAACCACTTTTATCCTCATGAAGTGGCCATTCTGGTTGCAGGGAACAGAATACAAAACACATCATTCAAATGCCAAAGACAGTAGGTAATAAGGAAAAATATATATGGCCACAGGTAGTCAAGGCCTGGAAATACTATTTGAAATGCCTGGTCTAATGGAGGACGTAGGGTGGCTGCTCAGACCCCTGGCTGAGTTTGGGGTACCATTATCAAAAGATGGGGGCCCGGAGACTAGAGGACCGGCCAGGGCGAAGGCAGCAATGTTCTGTATATCCATTGGCCAGTCTTCCTCTCCTCTGAAACTCGTTCCTTCATCTGTAGACCGAACATAATTATCTGCCTGACCGAAATGTAATTAGTAAAGGAAAGGAGTTTGTGTTCATAATATGTGAGATTTCTTCCCAGAATAGAAATAATGAAACTTTGAAGTTGTGCCCTTTAGATAATCACCATTGATGTAGATCAGAAGTCAGCAAACTCTGCCCCTCAGGTCAAATCCAGCTGGTCTGTTTTTATAAAACAAGTTTTATTGAAACAGCCACCCCTGTTTGTTTACATATTGTTTATGGCAGCCTTTGCACTCCAGTGGCACGGTTGATTAACTGCAATAGACAGATCCCTCGTGGCCTGCAGTGCCTCAGACATTCCATCGCCGGCCCTTCCCAGAAAAGGTTGCCCACCCCTCCTGTAGATGACGGAGGATGAGCCTTTTTCTGCAGTGGGTGAAAGGTGCAAGCGCTTCTGCTTCCGGTGATGGATTCGGCGGGGGTGTGCCCAGGATGGATATCGGTGGAATGAGTGTGCCAGCCCTGGCCTCCTTCCCTGGGCTCCGCTCCGGCCCTCCTTAACCCTTTGCTCTCTGTCCTTTGCCAGACTCCGACCTGAGCATGCGCACACTGAGCACGCCCAGCCCAGCCCTGATATGTCCGCCGAACCTGCCCGGATTTCAGAATGGAAGGGGCTCGTCCACCTCCTCGTCGTCCATCACCGGGGAGACGGTGGCCATGGTGCACTCCCCGCCCCCGACCCGCCTCACCCACCCGCTCATCCGGCTCGCCTCCAGACCCCAGAAGGAGCAGGCCAGCATCGAGCGGCTCCCGGACCAGTGCATGGTGCAGATCTTCTCCTTCCTGCCCACCAACCAGCTGTGCCGCTGCGCGCGCGTGTGCCGCCGCTGGTACAACCTGGCCTGGGACCCGCGGCTCTGGAGGACTATCCGCCTGACGGGCGAGACCATCAACGTGGACCGCGCGCTCAAGGTGCTGACCCGCAGGCTGTGTCAGGACACACCCAACGTCTGTCTCATGCTGGAAACCGTAACTGTCAGTGGCTGCAGGCGGCTCACGGACCGAGGGCTTTACACCATCGCCCAGTGCTGCCCGGAGCTGAGGCGCCTGGAGGTCTCGGGCTGTTACAATATCTCCAACGAGGCGGTCTTCGACGTGGTGTCCCTGTGCCCCAACCTCGAGCACCTGGATGTGTCAGGTAAATGGCAGCTGACCTCCCTTGCCCCATCCCAGAGCAGTGGACCGGCACTGCTGCCTGGAGGAGGTTCCCTTCCCCCAGAGCCGTTAGAGACAGAGGGTGGGCAGCAAGGAGGCTGACTCTTCCAGAGAAACTGTCCTATGTAATCATGACCCCAGGAGGCCAGAGGTACCCCTTTCATCAAACAATGCCAACTTCTTTTTTTTTTTTTTTAATTTTTTTAATGTTTATTTATTTGAGAGAGAGAGAAACAGAGCATGAGCAGAGGAGGGGCAGAGAGAGAGGGAGGTACGGAATCCGTAGCAGGCTCCAGGCTCCCAGCCGTAGAGCCCAAGGCGGGGCTCGAACCCATGAACCGTGAGATCATGGCCTGAGTGGAAGTCTGACACTTAACCGACTGAACCACCCAGGCGCCCCAAACAATGCCAGTTTCTTAAAGGCCAAAGAGTCACCTTTTTGTCTGGCAATTAAGTTAGTATGACTTTTAAGTGTGTCCTTCCTCCCCATAGCTGTCACTTAATGTCAGAGCAACAGTAGACAACGGGAACCAAGTATCTAACTCAAAGGTTAGCTTAGATGCCACTGTGTGCCCACTAGTTATAATTCCACGGAGCCCGAGAGCTGTGTCTAAGCTGACTGTGTGCTTTGGACTGTGCTCAGATTTGCTTGCCATTTTTGCCGACACTGGGGAAAATCCATTCTGTCCAAGTGTCTCCTTGTATTTCACCCCCACTCTCCTCACCCTTGGGTTGATTTTGTATTTTTTTTAAAGCAATATTCTCAATTACCTAGTGCAAGGATAAGGCCCATCAAGGGAAGCCTTTAGATCTTTTTAAAATTGAAGGAAATCCCAGCATAGTTGCTTTGCTTGAAAACCTCTCTCAGGCAGGAAGAATTAAAACCCAGACTCACACTTTGGCGCCAGACTCGGATCCAGCCGGACTAACAGCCTTTCTTTATCTCATTCACTGCCCAGTCAAAAGGCCAGCATTTGAGAGGCTGAAATGTGTAAGATGCCTCAGGGAGTTAAAGAAACCAACAGCCTGAGCCACAACTTAGGGATGGTTGGGGAGGGGTCAAGAAGTAAAAACCCTGGTGACAGGCGAATAAACAGAATTTGGGATTTACAAGCATCTGAGGGAAATGATACCCTCAAACAAATCTGAAGGAAAAGTCCGCTCTCTGAGTCTGCTCCCTCTTTCAAAAGCCGACATCTGAAAATATTTCAGATGACAGTCAATTATTTTTCGCAGATTCTTTCCCTTGGTGGAAAGCAACTCGTTTCTCCCCTCCTTCTGCTGGCTTCAGGACAAAACCATAGTAACCGTACATTAAGTTAGTCCTGAGCAGCTGCTGGCATAAAGAAGCAGGAAACAAAGAGGTTCTCTTACGTTTTTCCTCCAAGGAATTCTGGAAAGAGAAAGCACTGTGATGTGGTGGAGACTGCTTTCAAGACTCTGTGATTTGGGACAGTTCACAGCTTTCTCTAGATGTGTTTCCTCTTCAGTTAAAAAAAAAAAAAAAAAAAAAAAACTAAGGAATTGGTTTCTTGAACATGCTAAGATTCTGAACATTGTGAACCTATTTTTTAGACACCGCATTTCCTTTCTCTTCGAAAATCAGATTAGAAAAGGCCTTGTTTTCGGAATCCCCATCTTTGTTTAAGGTGCTCCCCACGCACCCTGCCTACAGGCTGCAAATATTGTGTCCTCCGTCTCTTTTGGAGTTCTTTTGAAATCCAGGAATGTAGAAACTACTTTGGGAATGGAAATCCCTGGGCTTCTAACTGAGTGAGTAGATCCTGCTTCACCCTGTTGACTAACCATTATGGAAGCCACCATGCCCTTCTTCTATATCACCCTCATTTGCAGAGCCTGGTATATTTGTGGTTTTCTCACATGCCTCTCAGTGACCCCCTGAGATCTATATAGAGGTTATATACATGAGGGAATCTCTAACTCACCAAGTTAAGAGCACTGAATTCCAGCTATGGGGGGGGGGGGGGGGTCCAAATGGCGCCCTCCAGTTCTGAGGGAATCTGACAAAATTATGTTGATACTGGGAGAAGCCAGAGGACTCCCAGAGGTGGTTTCACTATGCCTTGCTCCCTTTGGTTTTCAAGCTGACCTTCTCATTGGCGCTAAACTTGACTTTGCAAGATTCATCGCTGATCTAGAGCTTAATTCCCCCAAAGGACGTGAGACTTCCTCTCTTGTCCCTAGCGTGCCCCTCTTAAAAGCTGTCTTTTTGGGGCGCCTGGGTGGCTCAGTCGGTTAAGCATCCAACTTTGGCTCAGGTCATGATCTCACGGTTCATGGGTTCAAGCCCCGCATCGGGCTCTGTGCTGACTGCCAGCCCAGAGCCTGGAGCCTGTTTCCGATTCTGTGTCTCCTTCTCTCTCTGACCCTCCCCCACTCACACTGTCTCTCTCTCTCAAAAAAAAAAAAAGCTATCTTTTCAAGTCATTGAAACTTACTATTACTAGTTGTAGGGTTTTGTCATTGTCACATATTACCTTATATTAATTTTTAGTCTGGGTTCTTCAAAGAAACAGTGTGTGCGTGTGTGCGTGTATGTGTGTGTGTGTGTGTGTGTGTGTTTGCCATCTGCAAACAAGAAACCCAGGAAAACTTGAGGTGCAGCTGAGTCCAAGACCAAATGCCTGAGAACCAGGGATGCTGATGGTGTTAAGTGTCAGTTCAAAGGCAGGAGAAGACCAATGTGTCAGTTCTAACAGTGAAGCAGAGAAAGTTAATTCTCGATTCCTCCACCTTTTGGTCTATTCGGGCCCTCAACAGATTGGATGATGCCCCTCCACATTGGGGAGAGCAGTCCACTTCACTGAGTCCACTGATTCAGATGTTAATGTTACCCAGAAATGGGTTCACAGGTGCCCCCAGAAAGGTTTAGCCAAATGTCTTGGCACCTTGTCATCTACTCAAATGGACACAAAATTAACTGTCACAGTTAATAACATCTTTGAACATCAGTGGAACATGGTAAAGCCAACCAATTTTCAAAGTGTAAAATATTGTCATTATTACAAATGAAACTGCTTCAAAGGGTTCTCTTACAGCTGGAGACCTGGAGTCCTCCTTACTTTTCCTTTCCTGATCTTTTACTTTGAACCAGTACAATCCTGTGCAGGTGTTTCTACCTACCCGGTACCGTGATTCTTCTGTCCCCTCCCCTCTACCTGCTGCCACGATGCGCAAGTCACTAACCAGCCTCCTTATATTCATCTTGACCTACCGTCCACACAACCAACCTCCAGAGGGATTTTTTTTTTTCAAATAACAAGTCAAATCATACATTTTCCTGCCTAAAATTCCCAACTGCTCCCCATAATCTCCAGGAAGATTTCAAGTTCTTCAGAAAAGCATATATGGCCCTTCAAGAGCTCCAAACACATCACATCACATGGTGCATATTGGGATGTGTGGACACTTCTCTGGCTTACATGCTATTCCCTCATCTGTCCCCTGTCCGTCCCCAACAACCCTCTTAACAGACTTCTCATTGGTCAAGCTCTAGTGCAAGTTATCACCTAAGTAAAGCCTTCCCTGCCTGATGTCCACTAAGTTAAGTGTTTCCTCTCAGGTCGTTGCCTTTTGAGTACAGGCAGGGAAAGCATCACTGGGTTTTGCAATTGAGTATTTGTACATTCACAGATTCCTTTCTCCCAATTCATTATAAGCTTTCTGAGGGCAAAAATGAGGCATGTTTTGTCTTTGCACATAATGATACTATAGTTATGTGAACTTATGAATGTCAAGGGTTTTTTTTAATTTTTTTATGTTTTACTTATTTCTGAGAGAGGGAGAGAGAGAGAGAGAGAGAGAGAGCGAGCGAGCGAGCAGGGGAGAGACAGAGAGAGAGGGAGATACAGAATCCGAAACAGGCTCCAGTCTCTGAGCTAGCTGTCAGCACAGAGCCCGACGTGGGACTCGAACCCTTGAACTGTGAGATCATGACCTGAGTCGAAGTCAGATGTTTAACCGACTGAGTCACCCAGGCACCCCTGAATGTCAAAGTCTTAAATGGTCATCTTGACTTCTAAAAGGTTCACACAAAGTTGCCATTGGCTAATACTCTATAAATACACATTTAGGAATCTATAGTGGCTAAAACTTCTTTATCAGTAGAAATGGTTTGGTTGGCAAATTAATAAATATCAATGGTTAATATAAATATTAAATATTTAAGTATTAAATAAACACATATGCCCTGCCAAAAACCATTAGTAGTAGTAAGCACACAGTAAGTCATCATGGATGTCACTGTTTTTTGGATTGTCATTGTTAGAAATGTGCTTGGAAGCCAGTACTTGGTCTTCGTTGACTTTGCCATCTTCTGTCCCAGCGAAGATAGAGGTATTACCCCAATAATGAGAGGAAGTGTTAATAAAGATGATGTTTGTGAAAGTGGAACCAAATCTGGAATTGACTGAAGAAATCCCAGAGATTTGTTCAACCTATATTGTTCACTTCCTATTGAGTAATTTCCATACTCCTTACCCTGAGTATTAGGGCAGACCCCATAATCTGATCCCAGGGGGCTATTCCTATCTTAGTTCCCATTAAATCCTTTCAGAAACCCTGCATTCCACCCTATGGAAACTCCTCACAAACCCTCTGCCCCCATGCTTTCTTGTCTCTCTTATTTGCTGGTGCTTTTACTTAGTACCTGAGCTCCATATTGTGTAACCAAATTGTTTCCCTCTGCCAAGAACCCCCTTATAGATAATCACCACTTCGGAGTCTCCCCATTCCTCAGTATCTAAATGTTCACTTCGGGCTGACACATCTACATGAAATCTCTCATACAATTCATCAATTTCATGCTCTATCCTAGTCATTTCTTTCCTCCTCTCCTATAACTGAACCGTGGGTCAGGAAACGTTCCCTAGTCTGACTGTACAAGTCTCATAATCTTACTGAGTGTGAGATGCCTCATCTTTAGAAAGTAAAGGTTAGGGGCACCTGGGTGGCTCAGTCAGTTAAGTGTCGGATTTCGGCTCAGGTCATGATCTCATGGTTGATGGGTTTGAGCCCCGCGTCGGGCTCTGTGCTGACAGCTAGCTCAGAGCTTCTGTATCTCCCACTCTCTCTGACCCTCCTCTGCTCATGCTCTCTCTCTCTCTCTCTCTCTCTCTCAGAAATAAATAAAACATTGAAAAAAATTTTTTAAATAAAAAATTTTAAAAATAAAAAGTAAAGGTTAATTGGGATGATTTCTAGGTTGTCTGCATCTCTGTAATGTATGAATGCATGAACTAACCACAGACGGTACCCACTGAGCCATGGACCAATTTATTTTCCTCTCAAGCCAACCTTAACAAATGTGTAGGAATTAAGGCTGAAGTTCAAATTTAAAATTATTGATCTAACATAATACAAGCATATCAAAATAGTGTCTTCACCAAAACTGAGCTTAACCAGTACTTCATTAAACTGGGGACGAGTCCATTTCAAACACGAGGCATATACTTCCCTGAATCAAACATAATATCCTTCCTGGAGTGCATCCTATTTTACTAGATATTAAAAAAAGGAAAAAAAGAAAAAGAATGAAACTAGCACTAGGAGTTTAGGAGCAAAGGTTGTCATATGCTCTTGAAAACCGAAGTGCTTTCTCAGGCATCACAGATGGGAAAACCACTACTATGGACATATAAATTCAGTATAAACAAGATTACAGTTGCTCTAAACAAAAAAAAAAAAAAAAAATTTCAAAGCAAAGGAAGATTTCAAAGCTAAAGTTGCGGGGCACCAACCACCTTCCGCACAACCACAGAGGCTACCGGAGGAGAGTGAACAGCCTGACGAGTCACAGCTTTGTTCTCCAGCCCTGGACTGTATGCTGTACTCCTTCCTGAAATTCTTTGACTTGGTAGCACTTGGCTTTTGAACCTCATTATTCCCAGGACCTGAATTTTATAAGAGTTTCCTGGGCAGCCTGCCCAGATATGGGAGGAAAGTCCCCATTAGCACTATTATGTCACCACTTGGGAGCTTGGATATTGCTTGAGCAGCCAGAGCACGGAGGTGCCGGAGGTGAAGCACCTGGCTTTGGAATTGCCAGAAGGATTCCGGACAAGCACAGAGAAAATGAAAAATATATATGCACTTTATGTAGTGGGATGAAATATATGTACATACACACTTACTTATGCTATATATCAATGGCATATCATTTATATTTATATACTAAGACTGTACTGTAATATACATATGTAAATGTGTACAGTATATTTTATATTTTTATGTATATTTATATATTAATATATAGTGAACTGAAATATATAACAAAATGAGTGTTTCATATATAATTATATATAATATGACATATACAATGTATCATTTATACACGTATTCTTAGGGTAAGAGTAGCTAGAAATAATGTTTAGAGAGAAATCTAAAGACATCTTCCAATTGTGTGAAGAAGGGCAGAGTATTAAAGGACTTTACAGATCTAAAAATACCAAATCTTCCTAAGCATTAATTTCCTTGTCAGTAAAATGGATCAAGAATCAGGTAAGAATATGTTTATAAAAGCATTCTGTAAACTATATAATACAAATAAAAGGCATCATAATTAACTATAAAATGGACAAGTGTTTTACAACATAAATATATATCAGCCATGGCCAAAGTCCTGAGGACATTTAAGTGTTAGAATTTAAATTATCCTAAGTGGGGCAAAATTACCCTAGATCAAGGTCCACAAGTATTTCCTAGAGACTTACATAGGCTTCATGGGCCAAGAAGTAAAATCATATATATTTTGTGCATACTTACCTACAGAGAGAAAATTCCTCACCCCACCCCCAGTTTGACTGGGGTGGGCCTCCCATGTGCTGGGCATGCTTTATCCCTAATTTCCATCTGCCAGAGATATTCTAGATATGAAAGCACTGGCCTGAGGAGAAGGGTCTGGCTAGTGTGTGGGAAGAGGAGGGAAGTACTGTGGACTGAAAGCCTATCTCCCCCAAACCCATGTTGAAACCCTAGCCCTCAGTGTGATGGTATGAAGAGCCAGGGCCTTTGGGAAGACCAGGCTTAGGTGAGGTCATGAGGGTAGAGCTCCTGTGACAAGATTAGTGCCTTTATAACAGACTGAAGAACTTGCTCTCCTTCTTTCTACAACGTGAGCAAACAGCAAGAAAGCAGCTGTCTACAAGAGGGTTCTCATCAGGAATCAGGCACTGAATTGGCTGGCACCTTGATCTTGGACTTCTCAGCCTCCAAACTATGAGAAAGAAATATTTGTTGTCTGAAAACAACTAAAATTGTCCTCTCTGATCTTCCTATGGAAGGCTCTGTTCACTCCATAAATCACCCATTCATTCATTCAGCAGATACTTAGTGAACACCAGCTATGAACCAGGGATGAGGGGTATAGCTGTTAACAGCCAAGGGTCCCTTTCCTGAGGAACTTACGTTCCAGAATGAGGAAAGCAAATACATAAGTGAACAGATAAATGCATCATGCCACAAAGTGATAGAAAGTGTTGAAAATAAATGGGAGTCAAACCAGGGGTACCACTTGATAAAGGGTGATTGGGAAAGAATTGTCCAATCAGTGTTCATTTGCTCGGGGGCCCAAGAAAACGGGGGATGGCCCACGGGCAACCTGGAGAAGCCCTGTACGATGCAAAGACATTGAGGCAGGAAGGCAGCTGAGGTGTCTGGGAACCAGCGAGGAGGCCAGTGAAGCAGAGGAGTGGCGGTAAGAGATGAAGTCAGAGAGCACAGGGGTGTGGGTTCTCAGAGGCCCCCTTAGACTTGAGATTTCACAAGTGCCATGGGTGGTGTCCAGAGCCTTTGTGTGAAGTGACATGATTACAGTTCTGTTTTTCAGGACAGCGGCTCTGAGAACAGACAGTTGGGAGAAAAAAGGCAGGGCAGGGAGACTGGTTGGTTGAGTGGCTAGAGCAATAATCCAGGTGACACAGTTGTTCTTTGACCAAAGAGGGTTGACTAGAGTCTCCACGTGGTCATCTTATAATTAGAGTAATAATTATGTGTATTTCCCTGGAGTTTCCAAGTACCGCTGTGCCCATCATCTCACTGCATCCTCAGTATATCCCTACGGTATAGGCACATCAGCTACTCATGCTCACTGCATAGAGGAGAAGCTTGAGACATGAAAGTTAGGCCTCCTGCCTGCGGCCATAAAAAGGGAGACCAGAACCAGCTGTGACTCCCAAGCGAGCACTCTTTCTGCCAAACCAAGGTCACGGCCAACCCTTCCTGCATTATCTCACCTCTTTGACCACAGAGCTACCAGATCACTGCGGTCTGACAAATAGCCCTTATTGAGCTTCCGGAACTTTCCTGGCCCAGGGCACATGTTTTACAAGCACTGTCTCAGTTAGCCTTCACAGCCATCTTTCAGGGAACATGGCGTCCCGTTTTAAGACAAAGTAAGTACCAGGGCCACTAGTGATGGATGTGGAATTGAAACCGCAGTCCTTCCGATTCAAAAGCCCGGGAAGCCTCTGAAACCCAGAAAACCAAAGGAGTTAAATGATCAGACGAACACGGAGAACCCATTCTTGCTTCCCTTCTCCGCAGGGGCCAAAAGAGGGGAAGGTTAACACCCCGGCAGCGCCCGTTGGTTGCGGGGTGGGGAGTAGGAATCCGCCACGCACCCCCTTTGCAGAGGGGCTGTGGGGGGGGGGGCTCCCCTCCCCTCCCCCTCCCGCGTTCTCGGAGGTGCTCTGAGCATGTGTTCTGTCTCTCCGTGTAGGGTGCTCCAAAGTGACCTGCATCAGCTTGACCCGGGAGGCCTCCATTAAACTGTCCCCCTTGCATGGCAAACAGATCTCCATCCGCTACCTGGACATGACGGACTGCTTCGTGCTCGAGGACGAGGGCCTGCACACCATCGCCGCGCACTGCACGCAGCTCACGCACCTGTACCTGCGCCGCTGCGTGCGCCTCACCGACGAGGGCCTGCGCTACCTGATGATCTACTGCGCCTCCATCAAGGAGCTGAGCGTCAGCGACTGCCGCTTCGTCAGCGACTTCGGCCTGCGCGAGATCGCCAAGCTGGAGGCGCGCCTGCGGTACCTGAGCATCGCGCACTGCGGCCGCGTCACCGACGTGGGCATCCGCTACGTGGCCAAGTACTGCGGCAAGCTGCGCTACCTCAACGCGCGGGGCTGCGAGGGCATCACGGACCACGGCGTGGAGTACCTGGCCAAGAACTGCGCCAAGCTCAAGTCCCTGGACATCGGCAAGTGCCCGCTGGTGTCCGACACGGGCCTCGAGTGCCTGGCCCTGAACTGCTTCAACCTCAAGCGGCTCAGCCTCAAGTCCTGCGAGAGCATCACGGGCCAGGGCCTGCAGATCGTGGCGGCCAACTGCTTCGACCTGCAGATGCTCAACGTGCAGGACTGCGAGGTGTCCGTGGAGGCGCTGCGCTTCGTGAAGCGCCACTGCAAGCGCTGCGTCATCGAGCACAGCAACCCCGCCTTCTTCTGAGCGCGCGCCGCGCGCGGACCCCGCGGACCGTGTTCCGAGAAGCAGCGGATGTCGCTCGCGACAGCCCTTCCCGGAAGGTCCTTGGGAACCCGGCTTTTCTTTCTCCCCAGGTCTCGTGGGCCAGCGAGGGGGTCAAGGAAAGGAAGGGGGAGCCGGGCTGGGGGAGGGGGGCGAAGTTCTGTTACAGCGAACTGGTCATGTGGTCGGGTCATTCGTAGGCAGCGTCTCGTTCCCGCCCCCCCCCCGCCCCCCCAGAGGTGCGCCTCGGAAAGGTGGCGGCGGTGTGTTTGAGGACGCCTCTTTCTCGGTCTCTCTGCCCCTGGCCACATCCCAGGTTTCTACGCACACGCCCCGTGCTCCCGCCCCCGCCCCCACCCCGCCCTAGCCAGCAGCAACCGCAGATCATCAGAAGAGTGATGCTCTCCAGACCTCCTCCCCCTGAAACTGCTTGACTGGCCTAAGGCCGACCCGTCCATCCCACACCCGAGCAAATTCTTGTTCAATAAATGTCATAGCACCTGGTATATACAAAGTGCTAACAACCCTTGTTTTAAAGAATCACTTGTCCAGGCAGCTGTGTGCAGGGCGGGGGAGGGGGGGGAGACTGCATTCTTCCCCGAGCACAGTCACTAAAGAGCTGTGTGACTTTGGGCAAGCCGCTTGGCCTCTCTGGGCTTCAGCTTCCAGCACTGAATCAGAGGCCACCCCAGCCCCAGGATCCGCTTCATACCCATTTTAGAACTGAGAGAACACAGATGTCAAAAGGCAGGGGCACCTTGGCAGAGATCATAGGAGGCTTCCCCCTCTTCCAAAGGGGTCGGTTTGCAGAATGCTTTCAGGAGATTCGGCAGTGCCAGCAGGAATGTCCTATATGTCCTTCGCTCCCATCTGAATGTCACTTGAACCCGGTTTATTTTGATGGGAGAGTCGCTTGGGCACCTTCCCTGCCCCGCTAGGAGGACAGTTTCTGTGAGGAGTGCTCCCCACAGCCGTGCCCCCCACACCACCTTATGGAGGCAGTGGGATTCCAACTTACAGCACAGCCCACATCCCCAATCAAGCTGATCTTGCTGAGTGTTTCCAAAGCGGAGGAAGGACCCTCACGAGTTTTAATTAAAACAGTGAGGCGCAAGAGAACATGTGTCTTCTAGGGATTTTCCGCTCCCTCTCGGTGCACCTGCGGCTCGCATCAGGCAGGTCTGCCCCGAAGCCAGCAGGGACAGGCATGTGCTTCTCTCTCGTTCAGATCACATTTCTACTTTTCTCATCTATTTATTTCTTTGTGCGTCCAGACATCATCACATGAAGCCTGTTGGGGTGAAGTCATAAGTGTTTAACTGTGCAGATTGTCACGTCCTGTGCCTTCCCCCGTGGCTATCCAAATGTTCTCTGCCCAAGAATGCACAGCAGACGTTCAGGTGTTTAAATACCGTTCAGTCAAAAATGTCAGGTAAGTGGAAGAAGGAACACATTGATCCGACTTGGGCGCTGGTCCATCAACCAGGCCCTTGGAACAGAACCTGATAATTATTGCCAAGAATGAAATTTGAATGGCCCAAATTTAAATTTGGATGGAAATCCATTTGCTCGCCTCATGTGTGTGAAGTCAGGATGCCAGAAGAAAGTCCGCTGCTCATTTTCATGACATGTAGCTGCCTTTTGTTAATCAACACAGGACTTTTCCCAGATTATTCTCTAGCCACACCTCTCCTTCAGGGCCATTCAAATACTTCTCCATTTCTGTCTCAAAGGCTCCACCACCCCAGCCCAGAACCTCTGCATCTCCAAGCCAAGTATGTAGAATTTGTTTCCCATCAAGCTCACACACAACTCAACAGCTGTACTCCCATTGCAGACTCCCCGTGTTTCTTTGTCTTCTCTTGGGAAGGAGAAGATAGAATGAGGTGGCCTCTGCCCAGGAGGTTTCTTTCATGCATCATATGACATGACCTCCTCTCCAGTCAACATCCTCCACAACTTAGTGTGCAATCAAGACTATGTGCCATGGGGGGACGGGGCGGGGGGAGGGAATGAATTGCTTGGCTGGAAATAGTATCCAGTGATAGTACAGAGTTTAGAGCCATGAATGAGGTGGAAGGTAGCATTCCCATGAACCGTGACTTGTGACCCTGTCTAAAATTTCAGAATTTGAGAGTCAGCAAAGGCTTGTCCCTAACCTTTGGCATTAGGGTCTTCCAAGTGGTATTTTAATACTCTGAGAATAAGAAGGAAGATCCAAAATGGCTCCCTGAACCAGAGAACAGGTGCCCTATGACAAATATCTTTATCACCCTCACCTGACCACATCACCTAAACTGTCTTCCAAACATGAGTCAAAGCTGACTTGCACACTCATTGCCCAGCACGTGCTGTCTTTCCCGGTCTCTCCTTGTCCCCCGTCTTCTCTTCATCCACTTTGTCTCCACTGGGGGTGTGAATCTATGGCAGAGGTCACTGGGGAAATAGCTCAGCAGATTTTTTAGAGACCAAGCACCAGGCCTCGCTAAGAAATCTATCTGTTTTAAAACATCGCTTCCTTCCTGCCTCTGCGAAATTGAATGCTCATTGTTTTGTTTTTTTTTTATTTCTAATGTTCAATCACTGCGTGCTGTATGAATCTAGAAAGCCTTAATTTACTACCACCAAGAAATAAAGCAATATGTTGGTAATTGGGTTAAGCCTCATTTAATACCCTGGCCAGAGGAACGTGGTGTTCAGAGCGGGACACTCAAGGGTGAACAAGAGCCTTCTGCTGAAGTAGAGAACAAGTCAGGTCACTACAGTTTTTGTCCCTTTAAAGCTGCATCCATGATTTGTGTCATTTCCCTTGGTTCAGTGACTTTGGCTGAAAATTAGGAAGTGGTTGAAAAATCATTACCTTCACAGTTTGGTTTAGGTCTTCAATTCCTTAAGCTAAATTCCTGGAGTCAGATGTATTTTGGAATTCATAATTTTTTTTTATATCTAAGGAAGTTACCTGTGGTGTATTTTGGAATACCTCTAGCACAGTCTAGAGCAGCACCCTGAGTCAACATGTTAGTGTTCCATAGCAATAGGTACAAATAGTCACACTACGTAAGATTATTACAGATGTAAATAGCCTTGCATCCATTCAGGTCAGCTTTTGTCACCAAATTAACCTATACTAAACATAATGAAAAATATCTTCTATTCTTTCAGAGGTTTCCAGATTTCAGAACTGTGGACCTGAATGTACTTCCCGTGGCCCTGGTACAAACATTGGAGTAATCTTCAAAAGTATGCTATTGGTTGTTCTAAAGCTTTGAAAAAGTCTTAGAGCATTAAAACCTAGAAGGCCAATATGGCAACTTGATCTAAAAGGAGAAATTATCATCCCGTTGGAAAAAAATAAATACCAAATCTCTACTCGCCCACACCTTTAGATCTGAGAAATCAATAGGGCAGAATGCAAGTACTGATAGATGAATGGCACATTTCAGCCTTAGCAAGTAAAAAGGTTTTAAGAGATAGTGATTTTAAATGTGTTTGTCCTCAGCCTTCCTCACATCCTATGTCAGCTGCTTCCTGACTGTCACATTAACTGATAGCACGGTTAGCTACCTGGGAACATTAAGTTGAGGTAGCCCCATGCGGTTCCCGTCAAGATCCCAGAATAAAGCTAGCAGTAAATGAAATGCATTTGTCCTTGAGGTTCATGACTTCTAAAACTGACATTTGTTCAGAATTAGAAAAAGTCTTCAAGAAACTTGATATCCAAGAGCGTGCAACATGAAACCACACAGATCGGACGTGTTTAAGAGGAAAAGTAAAATGATAAAATTGCTTCCCACGTCTAAGTTTTCACAGAGAAGTCACCGAAAGTAGTACATTTGTTCAAGAGCTAGCAATCATGATTAGTTAAGAAAGACGTTAATTTGAAGAACGGCTTGTTCACACAGATGATCTGTGAAATCAAGTTGGTTTCCCTCTTGCATGCTGTTGGTCAAGTGGTTTCTTTTTGATCCATTCACCAGAAATGGTCCTTAATGTTGCAGGAAAGGGAGACACAGGGGGAAGGGACATGCCTATCACCATCTGTCTGCAGTGGATGCCGATGCTGTCACTGAGACTCCCCCAAACACAGCTCCCCTTGCCCAAAGAGCAACTCAGGCATTTCACTAAGATGAGCACCAGGGGGGGCAAGCTGTTCACCTGGGTGAAAGAAATATTCCCACAGACACTCAGATTGGGGACACCCCATCCTGGATGTACCTGAGATGCGACTATTCCTCCTTTTTTTTTTTTTGCTGGTGCACCATTATCTCCTAAAGCCACCGGTCGATTTTGTAGAGGCTTTCTCCCCACCTTCAAGCCACTGGATCACCTAGGATCTGCTAAAACCACCTGGGATGAAAGAACATCTCCATTTGAGAGCTGGAGGTGGCCCAGTTCCTGTCTGTCACCAGTATTATGTGGCATCTCCAGCAGAGCTATCCGAGGAAATGTCTGCAGCTAGGATGCTGGTCTTGTGAACCACCCAGGAAGGCTCCCTTTAAGCTCTGGATTCTTGCTCAGGTGTTAGCAACCAGCACCATCCAGGTATCAAGGGTGGCCTTGAAGATCATTAAAAACAAAAAAACAAAAAAAGCTTGACCTAAATATTTCCAATCTAGTCATTTCCATACGGTGGAATGGTTCTCTTTGCTGTCATGAGCTACTGGATTTTACACTGATGAGATCAGTATGTCTAAACTCTATTCTGGTCCATGATGATCAACGTGTGATGGAGACAAGAAATTGCAGCCATTCTCCATGAACAGAGGATGCCCAGGGAGTGCCAGTCATTTTCTTCTGAAGGCGCAGACAGTACCCAGCAACTTTCAACCCCTCCAAAGTTTATCAAGCTGGTACTATGATAGGATCTGGGTGGATAAGAGGTCATATCTTTAAGTGGAACCTCAGATCAAATAACTATACTATCATGGAATGAGTTGTAGAAGGGGGATTATAAAAAGGAGAGAGGCAACATCCTTCCATTTATTCATCCAACAAATATTTACTAAGAACTTCACATGTGCCAGACGCTGTGGTAGCACTAAGAGTCTTTCCCTGATTGGGTTTACCCAAGAAGTAATTTTCATCACCCTGTGGAGAGAAGTAAAAACTTAGGGACTCTTCTCGGAGGGGAAGACCCTGGAGCTGGATTTTATAACTCCATCAAGGGGAGCATCACAAGCCATCGTGCACTTGAACATCTAAAACAGCGTACATGGACCCCACTCAGGAACACAGTACTTGATAAGGTTAATGAAGTGATTTCTCCTTACCACAGGTTAACATTATCATAATATTAACTATAGGTTATCTTTGTCATTGCTTTGAGGTATTTATACAGAAAGAGCAAGTTCTGTTCTGTTCTAACATCATCCCACAGATTAACTCCTGGGTACACATACACTTAAACACACACACACACACACACACACACACACACACACACACTATATATATACACTTTAAAGAGTGGGGACATTCTGTAAGACCAACAGAAACATAATTTCTTGGACAAACTCTGAGGAACCTCAAGAAGCTTGACTGTCCTCCCAAATGGCATACACAGTAACAATTCAAGCACGGCCCCATGCCTGTGAACTTACGGTCATGATTTCTCCAGAATCTAGCACAGGGAGAGGATGATAGAAGCCCCCTCCCTCAGTTATCCTTGGATTCTCCAGCCCACATGGGCGCTCTTTGGAACCACTCCAATTGTTACATGTTATTCTGAACGGTCAGAATAATCAAGGCTTCTCAATTTACCATGCCCCTTTATTGCATTTCGGTAATGTCAACAATAAGGGACGGCCCAAGTAAAATTGATTAAGTAGCCATTAAAATTGGCAACAAATGGATTCTGTTTGTAAATTCACTGAGGATGGGTTCTTGGAAACCTCAAACATTACCGGGCTTGTGAATGGGAAATCGTCTGCCAAAGTTAAGGATACACTAAATGACGAAAGCCATCAGGAAATGCACGGGTGGTAGGAAGGTTTTAATTTCTGTGTCACTGCAGTAAGACACAGCCATCCTTGTGGTTGTTCAGGCCCCAAATGTCTTCCAAAGTCTGAGAAGGCATATTAAGTCCATTTCCAGATAAGCATGCGAAAGATAGAGGGAAAGAGAGGATTTCTAACTACAAAGATTAACCAGTCATTAGCACTTCCTCTTTCTCCGGTCTTCGACCACCACTAATGAACACAGCCACCCTCTATAAATAATTTTTTTAATTCCAGGTTTCACATCAATAATGTATTCTTCATGAGTGTTTACCCTGAGAATTTAAACAAACTTATCATGGTCTTTTTCATTTCTGAGAAAGTAGATAACGGGACAAAACTGTCTCAACTGATAAATGGCCTTTCTTGTTTTATCTCCAAGTCTTTCCTTTGGAGATGGAGACCAAAGTAGATATAATTGCCGTTGTAGAATTTGACACTTTTCCTACCTACAGGATAACTACCCTAATGCATTGGATTCAACTGTACAATTCTTCATTTTGCAATCCCTCCCTCTAATAATGGAGAAATGTGAGAAGTGCTGGGTTTTCATGCTCCCTATCCACTTAGGAAAGCCCCTAAAGAGATCATTTTGCTGAACAGATTCCGCTCTGAGTAGAAGAACCAGAGAGGGAGAATTCACACCATTCCTCTCATTCTCATAGGGGCCAATATGCGATTTATGACAGAGTTGATATATATGAATGGTGTCTGCGCCACAAAGGCTTTCCATTAGGAAGTTGGACTGTGAGACTCCAGTTGGCTCTATGTTCATAATTTTAAAATACCCAAAGAATAACAACCACGGATGCACTGGAAGGTTGGAGACCAAAGGCTGTAGATTTAAAGGAAAAAAAAGAGAGAGAGAAAGAGAGAGAGAAGCACTTAAGTAATGAATGACCTCTTGCTCACATAATGAAAACCAGAGTCTCCTCTGGATTTCCAAACTGGCACTGTTTCACTGGTGCCACCGCCTTAGGGCTGCTGTGCGTAATGTTTCTTTTGAAAATAGTGCACACAGGAAAGCGATGGGAAGTACAAACAGTGCCACGGGAGAGCCTTAGCCTCCCTTCCTTTTCAAACTTGTGTTTGATCCCAAATGCACGTGGCAAAATGGTCTTGAAGGTGATCAAGTTCTGTAAGGACTCCTTTTGTGTTTACAAAAAGAAAAGCCACATGCGCTCCAGTGCTGAAGTGTTTTTGTTTTTTTAACTTCGCTCACGCTAACGTCGTTGGCCTTGTGGCTCAGATACCTAATTGCTCGCAGTCAATAGCTTGTTCCGTCCAGGAAGAAAAGTGACCTTTCTTACCCGATTTTCTGAACAATGCAAAGAACTGTATCAGCTGCTCCATAGCAAAGTTCCTCTCCAGGGCTTGGGAGCCCAGTGTTAAACCTTGGAGGTAACTGAAATCCAAGAACTGTCTTGGGAAAATCTGGCTGAAAGTTTCCTTTGGCTGAAACTGAGTCACCGTTGGTACTTCTTATGGTGATAGTGGATGCAAATGTTTAAACTTGTTAAAAGCTTACTCTTTCTTGACTTCAAGTGGGATCGATTTCACGTACCTGTCTCCCTTTTGCATAGCCCTGCCCAGTACGTTTCGTGTGGCAACTGATGAAATATAAATTCAGGTTTGCATTCTCTATTCTTTTTAAT